TTTTTAAATGGGAACTTGCCAGGAAGTTGAGAGATGGTTCAGCAGTTAAGACTACATACTACTCTTGTAGAGGACCCAGGTTTGGTTCCCAGCACCCACATTGGGCAACTCACAACCTCTTGTAATTCTTGTTCCAGGGGATCCAATGCCCTCTTTTGGCCTCCAAAGGCACCTGCATGCATGTGGTGCACATAAACTCACACGGGCCCACACATATACATGTATACTATAAATAAGTAAATAAATTAAAAAAAAAAAACAGCCCAGTGAGAATGACTAGAAAAGCAGAGCATGGAGGATTGCCACAGATTCAAAGCCAGCCTGGTCTAATTATCAAGTACCAGGCCAGCCTGGATTACATAGTTAGACTGGGTCTCAAAAAGAAAAAACAAAGCCTGGTGTGGAGACACACGCCTTTAGTTCTAGCACTTGGGAGGCAGAGGCAGGCAGGTCTCTGTGAGTTCGAGGCCAGTCTGGTCTCCATTAGCAAATCCAAGCCAGCTGGGGTTACAGGGAGACCTTGTCTCAAAAAGACCAAAAAAAAAAAAAGCAAACAAAACACAACAACACAACAGAGAAGTAAATCTGCTGGAAGTCTACGCAAGTATCTTCTGAGTACCACTGATGTATGTTTTCTACCTCCCTCCCTCTCTCCCCTTCTTGCTGGTCCTAGGGTTGGAACCTGGGACCTTATATGTATTAGGCAAATGCTCTTCCAGTGAACTGCACACACACACACACACACACACACACACACACACAGCCTGCATATGTCATCTTTTTTACACACAGCTCTGAGGTCAGGTCAAGCTAGACCTTTTCCCAAAATAAAATTGCCTCTTATTTGACACAGCTCTGTCCCATACTAAGTTCCTCTTACCTTCCAAAGAACCAAGCACAAACTGATCAACCTGTCAACTTGGAACTTGCCAAACCCCTGAGTGATATGGTTTCTGTGTCTGACTTTAGGGGTGTCCTGATCACCTTTATGGACTTCATCTGCAAAACAGAACAGTCAAACTGAAAATTAGCTCTTCTCACCAAGGAAAAAAGAAAGAAAATCTAGTAATTGTGCTTGTACTTCTAAAAGTAATATTAGTATCCCTGTTAGAGGCTTAGTTAGAACTTACAATGAGAAGTCCCCCATAGAGACAAGAGGGAAAAGAGCTCCTCTAGTATGTGGCCCCAGGCACCATCACACACCTGCCTTAAGCACTGAGAGATCCTCTGTCTAGTTCTACTCCTCTATTATTATATTAGTTAGTGATGGCAGGGAGAGGGTCTGATAAGCCATTATATGCCCAGCATCTTGCACAGTACCTAGCCTATAGAAAATACATACCTAACAAAGCAAAAACGAAGAACTTCGAAGAAACTAGAGAGAAATTCTGTACTTCATAAATCCAAACACATTTCCAAGGCAATATTTGGGACACTTGATCTCGCAAGTAGGCAGCTATGAGGAAACTAGATTATTTTGAACCAAGACTGGCCTGTAGAGACTGGGAGATGACTCAGAGCATAAGAAGACCTCAGTGTGATTTCCCAGAACCCGTGCTAAAAGCCAGGCATGGCTGGGCATGGTGCTGCACAACTTTACTCCCAGAGCTCAGGAGGCAGAGGCAGGTGGATCTCTGTGAAACTGAGGCCAGGCTATTCTACATAGTGAACTCCAGACCAGATAGGGAAACAGGGAGACCCTGCCTCAAAAAAGAAAAGCAAACAAAAAAGTCAGGCATGGCAGTCCGTTGTAACCCAGCACCGGGAAGCAGATACAAATGGATCCAGTGTGCACATGCTCCGAGAGAGAGAGAGAGAGAGAGAGAGAGAGAGAGAGAGAGAGAGAGAGCGCTTGGTCTGTAAAATTCAGGATTCTCAACTTCTGTGGCTATTGGAGCCAGAGGACTAAGCAAAAACTCACAGAGAAAGGTCTTTCTAGGTAGTCCAGGCCAGCCTCAAACTCCTAATCCTAAAGAGAGAGAGAGAGAGAGAGAGAGAGAGAGAGAGAGAGAGAGAGCGCTTGGTCTGTAAAATTCAGGATTCTCAACTTCTGTGGCTATTGGAGCCAGAGGACTAAGCAAAAACTCACAGAGAAAGGTCTTTCTAGGTAGTCCAGGCCAGCCTCAAACTCCTAATCCTCCCAGTTAGCCTCCCAGAATTGGGACTACAGGACTATGCAACCACACTAAGCCATGAAAGTACCATTAAAGGACCCAGCTCAGGTTTGCATGAAAGGACTAGGTGAGTCAAAAGCAGTGTGCACATTATCTTACAGAGTTTTCATCCTTATTTAATAAAATATCAAATATCTATCTTACACTGACCTAGAAGAACCAAACTTATTCAGAGACTTAATAACCCACTCGTGGTCATGTAGCTGTTGAACCTACAATGAGATATATCAGGATGTGTTCTGTTACACAGGGAAACGTGGAGAAGGGGGCAGGAAAGGGGACAGACCCCAGGTGAGGCATCCTCGCTAGCAGGTGAGGCAGGTAGTCCACACATCCTGGGCTGCAGCGTCAGTTTAGGGGATTAAGTTGCCTTCTAGTATCCACTGAAAAGGGAGGCAAGGTCGGGGTCATGGTCAGCTGAGCTCCCCAGGGCCTTCATCACTGCATCACTGCCACGGATGCTCTGACGTCTTCCAGACTTGACATTGGTGTGTGGAATGACAGATACCCCAGCTGCTGGCGGCGGAGAGGGCGGACCTTGCTGCAAACCGAACCTCTTTGGACTAGCACAGCCTCCAGAGCCGCCCCCCCGCCCCGGGCCTCTCGGCTATCTGCCCAAGCTGGGCACAGCCCTCCGCTCCCCGCACGTGGGTCCGCAGGGCAGAGGGCTGGAACCGAGCAGCGCGGACTACAATTCCCACAATGCTCGGGGCCGTGTTGGCTGGGAAGAAGGGGGGCCTCAGGTGTCTGCGACCTCGGAGCCTCCAGCCCGGAAGTGCCGGAGGGGCCGAGATGGAGCTGGAGGAGCTGGGCGGTGAGTCCCCGCGCGTGGCCGCGCCCACCCGGTCTCCCCAGGCCCCAGCTGGGCCCGCTTGCCCCGCCCCGTGATCGCTGGTGCCCTCCAGCTGCTTGGGGGGGGGGGGCGGGGAGCGGGAAATGGGAGGAGTGATGGAGGCATGGGGGCAGGGAGAGCCAAGTCCAGGTTTCCGGAGAGGGCTCCCGGGTCTGGCGGCTTCTAGGTTTGGGGAGGCTCTGTGCCCAGGGACGCAGAGGCTGGCGCTGCGGGGTGGGGTTTGGGTGGACCCCAGGAGGGCCAGGACTGGGTGGGTGGCAGCAACCCCCCACTCCAGGGCTCCAGATTGCCCAAGGGCGGAGTGTGACGTTTGGCGTGGGGGAATCTTTGGGAAGCAGTCCCTGCTATGGGTAGGGAGGGTTTGGGTAATGGTAAAAGGGAGGGCAAGGGGCTGTAGAGACCCTGCTTCTGCCCCTTAGGGACCTAAAGCCACAGGGCATTAAATGAGCTTTGGGGTGAATGGGTGAAGTAAACTTTGGGGTGAAGTGGATAGAAGAATAGCTAAGCTTTTGGGGTGAAGTTTGGTGGAGGCTAAATTTAGGAGAGGGCTGCTTGGTTGAGCAAGGCCTTTACTTGGAAATAGAGTTATTGGAGAGCTGGTTGAAGACCTAGAACTCAGATAATAAAGGACTTGGAATTTGGTGATGGAAAGGGACAGTACAAGAAGGCAAATTTGGGATGGCTGGGAGCTAAACCAGTCTGTACCTTGGGGTGGGTAAGGGGGATAGAGTTTAGGACTGTGGGAGAGTTGTGCGGTTGGAGTCAAGAGCTGTTAAAGTGTGTGGGAGGGAACGCCTGGCCAGAAAGCAGCCGCTCACCAGCCCTTTGTGCCTCTCCAGCTCGGTAGCAGGCAAGTCAGGTGCCATGGCTTTGATTGAAGGGGTGGGTGATGAGGTGACTGTCCTCTTTGCGGTGCTTGCCTGCCTTCTGGTGCTGGCCCTCGCCTGGGTCTCAACACATACCACGGAGAGCACAGACCCCCTGCCGCAGCCATCAGGGACCCCAACACCGGCTCAGCCTAGCGAAGCCATGGCAGCCACTGACAGCATCAGAGAAGAGGCCCCAGGGGCTGAGACCCCCAGCCTGAGACACAGAGGTCCAGCTGCTGCACAGCCAGAGGCTGGCACAGGGGTCACAGCAGTGCCACCACCTCCGGACTCCCCACAGGAACCCCTAGTACTCCGGCTGAAATTTCTCAATGATTCTGAGCAAGTGGCCAGGGCCTGGCCTCACGACACCATTGGCTCCTTGAAAAGGTAAGCTAGGAAGAGGGGAGGAAAGAAATGCCAAAAATGGGGTGTGTGACTTCAGAAGGGCCACTGGAGATTCCTGAGACTCCCTCTGATTTTCTGTTTGAGAGAGCTGAGCTCCTTGCAGGACACACACCACTGTTCCCCTGTGGCAGCCTGCCCCCCAGAGGCCAGGGTCTAGGTGGTCTGTGGAGGGCAGGGATGAAGGTGTGGAGTGGTGCTTTGGGCAAGGGACCAGGATTGCCTGAGGCCTGCTCTCTTACCCAGGTCCCTCTCTCCTCAGGACCCAGTTTCCTGGCCGGGAACAGCAAGTTCGACTCATCTACCAAGGCCAACTGCTAGGAGACGACACCCAGACTCTGGGCAGCCTTCACCTCCCCCCAAACTGTGTCCTCCACTGCCACGTGTCCACGAGAGTCGGTCCCCCACATCCCCCCTGCCCACCGGGGTCCGAGCCAGGCCCCTCCGGGCTGGAAATCGGCAGCCTGCTACTGCCTCTGCTGCTGCTGCTGCTGCTCCTGCTCTGGTATTGCCAGATCCAGTACCGGCCCTTCTTTCCCCTGACCGCCACCCTGGGCCTGGCCGGCTTCACCCTGCTCCTCAGTCTCCTGGCCTTTGCCATGTATCGCCCATAGTGCCTCCTCGGGCTCTGGGCAGTGTGGCTGGCCCCTCTGGACCTCAGTCCCCAAGGCATGGTGGGCGCTGCTGTCTGCCCAGGCCCACCGCACCCACCTGCCTCTTCCCACTACCCTGGAGCCCAGCCTTGTGCCACAGAGGACTCCAGGGCCTGGCGGAGGCCCCTCCCTGTGACCTCCATGACTCTGGGCCACGTGGGGCTGCTGGCCCTCAGCCCTCGCTGACAGTGGGCCGGTCTGGATCACGCACCTGCTGTCGGTGCCTGGGCCCTGGACAGAGCCAGGCCACCCCACTGGGCCCATCTTAGTGTGCTGCCAGAGGACCTACGAGGTGCCAAGCTGCCTTGGGGACCCATGGGGTGGGAGACAGGTGATGGGGAGTTGAGAGGGACAGAGCTGTTCTTGGAACATGTGCAGATTAAAGAAACTGTGACGTTTTCATCTCGGTGTGTGTCTGTGCAGGACTGGGCGGAGGGGAGCCCTTGTCTGCCTTGGGGACCCATGGGCTGGGAGACAGGTGAAGAGGAGTGACAGAGCTATTCTGGGAACACGTACAGATTAAAGAAACTGACGTTTCCATTTCTGTGTGTGTCCGTGCAAGG